TGATAATGCAGAAAAATGCCACATTTGTGAAAAAGATCTTAATAATGATAAAGTACGAGATCATTGTCATATTACTGGAAAATATAGAGGTGCTGCACATAATGAGTGTAATTTACAATTTAAAATTCCAAAATTCATTCCAGTACTATTTCACAATTTATCTGGTTATGACTCTCACTTGTTCATAAAGAAATTGTCAGGTAAAATAAATTGCATTCCTAACAATGAAGAAAAGTATATCAGCTTTTCTAAAGAACTTAAAGTAAATGAATTTACTAATAAAGAAGGTAAAAAAGTTGAAGTTAAACTGTATCTACGTTTTCTATATAGTTTTAAATTTATGGCTGCTAGTTTAGATAGTTTAACTAAAAATTTGTCAAAAGATCAATGTAAAAATATTAGTAGATACTATTCTGGAAATGAACTCAATTTATTGTTAAGAAAAGGTGTTTATCCTTATGAATGGGTTGACTCTATTGATAAATTAAATGAAACACAATTACCACCAAAAGAATCATTTTATTCAAGACTAAACGATGAAGGAATAAGTGATGAAGATTATTTACATGCACAAAATGTATGGGAAAAGTTTCAATGTAAAACATTTAGAGATTATCATAATTTATATAACGAATCTGATGTATTATTACTAGCTGATGTCTTTGAAAATTTTAGAGATGTCTGTTTTAACAATTACAAATTAGATCCTGCTTGGTACTATACAGCACCAGGATTAGCTTGGGATGCTGCGTTGAAAATAACAGAAGTAAAATTAGAATTATTAAGTGATTATGATATGATCTTAATGATAAAAGAAGGAATAAGAGGTGGTATTAGCATGATTTCTAACAGGTTAGGAATTGCTAATAATAAATATATGAATAATGCAAATAATAATGTAAATACCAAGACTGATAATAAATGTATTGATGAAATAATAGAGAAAGGAATACAAGGTAAAATTAGTATGAAATCTAAATGGGATATTAGTAAAAAAATTCCTACGTCTGGTTTTGAAAGGTTTTATAAAATTTTTGAATGGTTTGATAAAATTTTTGAATGGTTTGATAAAATAACGTCAACGATAAAGCAAGGAATACAAAGTGTAAAACCTTGTAAATTAGAAAATACAAATAATAAGTCTACTAGAGTCTATGAATCTGAAAGATCTAAACACATTGGTGAAGAATATAATTCAAACAAGGAGTCAACATACATACAATATTTAGATGCAAATAATTTATATGGATGGGCAATGAGTAAACCACTTCCTACACATGGATTTCAATGGATGAATGAAGAAGAATTAAAAAATTGGAAATCTACTTCTTGCATATTAGATGTAGATTTAGAATATCCTGAACACTTACATGATGTTCATAATGATTATCCTCTAGCCCCTGAAAGATTAAAAATAGACAAAGTTGATAAATTAATACCTAATTTAAATCATAAGAAAAATTATATCATTCACTATGAAAACTTAAAACTATATGAAAGACTAGGAATGAAAATAACAAAAATTCACAGAGGAATAAAGTTTGAAGAAAGTGCATGGTTGAGTAAATACATTGAACTCAATACAAATCTAAGAACAAAAGCAACAAATGACTTTGAAAAAGACTTTTTTAAACTTATGAACAATTCAGTATTTGGAAAGACAATGGAGAACATTGAAAACAGAGTTGATGTAAGATTAGTTTCTAAAAGAGAAGAAGCTATTAAATTATCATCAAAACCAAATTATGAAAGTAGAACGATATTTGATGAAAATTTAATAGCTATTCATATGAAAAGAACAAAGCTTGTATATAACAAACCTATTTACTTGGGTATGTGTATTTTAGATTTGAGCAAAACACTAATGTACGAATTTCATTATGATTACATAAAAAATAAATATGGAGATAAAGCTAAACTATTATATACAGATACAGATTCATTAATCTATGAAATAAAAACAGAAGATTTTTATAAAGATATTTCTAATGATATTGAAAGTAGATTTGATACAAGTGAATTTAATAAAGATCATCCAGCTGTTCAAAATGGATTTAAAGTTGGTGTAAATAAGAAAGTAATAGGAATGTTTAAAGATGAATCAGCAGGAAAACAAATTACGGAATTTATTGGACTCAGATCAAAGTTGTATTCTTACAAAATAGATGAAGAAGATAAAAAGAGATGTAAAGGAGTAAAGAGAAATGTAGTAAAAAATTATATTACACATGAAGATTATAAAGACTGCCTTATAAATAAGAAAGATCAGATGAGAAAAATGAATGTCATAAGATCTCATTTACATGATGTTTATACTGAAGAAATAAACAAAATAGCATTGAGTGCAGAAGATGATAAAAGAGTAATTCAAGAAGATGGTATTCACACATTAGCATATGGACATTATAAATTAAAAGAGAATAAAACATTGGTTCCTTCAGAACCCAAACCCAACTTTTCATTTCAGATTGATTGGAAATAAACAGGCAAGCAGGCAGGCAAACACACAGGTAAGTTATTTTTTATATCTTAAAAAGATCTAAAAAAATCTAATAAAGTAATAAAAATGGACAAACATATCAATGTTGAAGGAATTATATTGCCAAATGTACCCTTAACAAACTTTCAATTAATAAAAGCAGCAAAAAAATTAAAAATTAAAAACTTTAGAGGTGTATTTGTAAGAGATGAATTACCTAAAAATACACAAAACAAAGAATGTGGAATATTAAATACTGGAGATTCAAGTACGAATGGATTTCATTGGATTTGTTGGTATAAAGATGGAGAAGAAAAATTAAGTTTTGATTCTTATGCACTACCACCTCCAGTTGAACTTGTTCAATATTTACACAGTCCTGTTTATTATAATAGTAAAAGAATTCAGTTTGGAGACACTTCTTTTTGCGGACACTTGTGCCTTTATGTATTAAAAAAGCTTGATGAAGGTGTTGATTTTCAAAGTATTGAAAACTCATTATATTGAATTAAAAAAATATAGCATATTTAAAATGAGTATGAATATAGCTGGTAGTAATTCATTATATGGTTACACAACAGATGGATTAAATATCAACATTAATGTTGGCAATTCAACCACTACTGATGTTGATTTAAATTCACATAAATTAATCAATGTAGCTGATCCTACAGATGCACAAGATGCAGCTACGAAAAATTATGTTGATAATAATCAAACTTCTAGCAGTGCATGTCTAAAATTAGATGGAACTAATAGTATGAATGCTAATATAAATTTGAATTCACATAAATTGATCAATGTAGTTGATCCTACTAATGCACAAGATGCAGCTACAAAGAATTATGTAGATAATAATCAAACTTCTAGCAGTTCCTATCTAAAAATAGATGGAACTAATAGTATGAGTGCTAATATAAATTTGAATTCACATAAATTGATTAATGTAGTTGATCCTACTAATGCACAAGATACAGCTACAAAGAATTATGTTGATCGCTTAATTCCTTATCAACATAAATATAAAGTTTTGATTATAGCTGGTCAATCAAATACATATGCTGGTAGAGAATGGGGTTTATCTCAATCAATAACTAATGTAAATTATATGAACAGACGAATAGTCCAATTTGCGATGGATAATGGACAAAATGATGTGTTACTTCCTTGTTCATTGAGGTTAGATGTAAATGAAACAGATAATAAATGTTGGGCAGGATATGGTTCAATACTTGCTGGACTTATAATGCAAGACGCTTTAGGTGCAAATACATTAAATATGATAAATCCTGATGAATGTTTAATGATACTTCCATGCATGCTAACTGCTAAAAGTTTCAGTAATGATTATTTTATGCCGTATGGAATTGGTTTTAAAGATTTAACTCGTAGAATTAATTACATTTCATCACATTATAACGCAGAGTTTTGCTGTATGACTTGGAGTCAAGGAGAAGACGATTCTATAACTGGTTGGTGTGATAACTATGCATATATTCTAATGAATTTTATACAAACCATTAGAGATTACATTGCATACTCATCAAACCAATTTGATACATTGCCAAACTCACAAATAAAAGCAAATAAAATGCTATTCATTACATTTCAAATGCTATCTTCATGGGTTCAAGCAAACTCAACTACAGCAACTCAAGTTCAAGATGCATTAAAAAATATTGTAAATTTTTCTCCATATACAGCTAGTATATCTCTAGATGGTATGCCTCCCAGTCTTAGGAGTGCAAATTTCGATGGAGTACATTATGATTCAAGACAACAAATATTTTTAGCAAACAAATTTTTTGAAGCAATACCAATTGCAATGAATAATATATATGGTGGTGGCTATGGAACACCATATAATTCTGGAGAAGTATTATTAGTTAGACAAGTTGCTGGATATTTATTTCTTAACAATTATTATAGCGCCTATAGAGTATTTAATTCTACTCCATCTACTGCTCAAGTATATAGTACATTATTTACTAATTGGCAGTATAAAAACAAAGATGGCTATTATAAATATAGACTTAAATATAAAATTAATGGTGTATGGAATAGTATTATATTTAAACAAGCATTCCTTCCAATGATGTCTATGGCTTACCAAAATTTTGCACAACTCATATCAACAGATACACCATTTGGATGTACAGAATTAGGACAAGGATTTTGCGGTTTAAATTTGACAACTACAAAAAGCATGATGAATTCTGGAGCAGTACTTACACTAGATACAAGTGGTGGTTATTGGGCACCTGTATGTCAAAATATGAGCTATGTATATAATGGACAACCTGCTATGCCTATATTTGATAATTATATACAAAATAGTACTCTTCCATTTGTAGCAACAGAACTAGAATTATATGCTATAAGAGATCCTATATAATATTGTTAAGACAATTCTACTACGCATAAGCGCTACTACGCGTAAGCAAATCCAGCGCATGCGCATTAAAAAAATAAAAAAAATTTGAAAATGATTTAAATAATTTTCTTGTATATATAAAAAAGAATGAATCAAGAAAATAAACGTACAAAAATTGATTATGCTGCTCAAAATGGTCGCCTTGAAGTAATAAAATATTTACATTCTAAAGGATATAAAGGAACAGAATGGGCAATTAATTATGCTGCAATGAATGGTCACCTTGAAATATTAAAATATTTACATGAATTAGGGTATAAAGGTGATAAATGGGCAATTAATTGCGCTGCAATGAATGGTCATCTTGAAGTAGTAAAATATTTACATGAATTAGGGTATAAAGGAACAGATGAAGCAATTATTAATGCTGCAATTAGGGGTTACCTTGAAGTAATTAAATATTTACATGAATTAGGGTATAAAGGTGATAAATGTGCATTTAATTGTGCTGCAATGAAAGGTCACCTTGAAGTACTAAAATATTTACATGAATTAGGGTATAAAGGTGATGAATTTACAATTAATAATGCTGCAGAATATGGTCATCTTGAAGTAATAAAATATTTACGTTCTATTGGATATAAATATTTGTATGAATTTGGGTATAAATAAGAAGCAAGAAAAAAAATTGAAAATATATTTCTTTACATAATTTATAATAAATGGATTTTACAATTAAAGATATTAAATTAGGAAGTTATAAAAGAAGATTAAGTTTAGCTCGTTATTTACAAAATAAAAATAAATTACAATGGGAAAAGTTAGAGAAGGAAAGATTAGAAGAAGAAAAGTTAAAAACACCAGATCAAATTTATTATTAAGAAAAGTCACGTGACGTCATGCAAGAATTTTTCGTAATATTTCATAACAAGAAATAAAAATTAACACTTATTTTAAAAAATCAATTTTTTTTAAAATAAAAAATTATTTCTTGTTGAAATAAATTATACACAACATGGTTCAATGTTAACCCCAATATTAATATTAATTTATGGTTGAAAATAAGGTTGAAAATGAAAATGTCCAAGAATTGGCAATCTCTTACTACTTATGCAATATACAATGAAGTGGACCGCCATGACTAAAACTTTCCCGGGCCGTTTTTTGAAGCCAGTCCGACCCTGTTTGTATTCAATTTAGTTTTTTCAAGAAAAGGCAACACCTTAAATAAAAATAGTAAACTTGACTTTTAATTAATTCGCCCTTATACAGAAAAAGATTAAGCTCCAGATGCTTCATCAGGAATGCCTTTTAAATCTTGACACTGTGAATCTTCTCCTGACATCTTCTGCTTCTAGAGTACAAGAGTAGAGTTTAGTTTCTGTTTGTTATGATTGATAAAAATGGTTAAATATAAACCCAAAACCCAACATAAATAGAGCACAAAGGTTATTAAAGCATAAATAACGGTAATCTATTAGCTCTCTAAATAATTATTTTTTTGTGTTTATTAAGAAACTTGATAGTAATAAATGCACTCTTTTATCAAATCTTACTTGCAATTAACACTGATTATTGTTTAGACAGATTTATTAAATGTCTATGCTTGTTTTTTATTTTCTCTTTCCATATCTGATTTGTGTTTTCTATAAACTGATTATTGTTTAGACCGATTTATTCAATGTCTCTGCTTGTTTTTTGTCTTCTCTCTCCATATCTGAAAAACCTGAAGATTTCTTTTTTGTCACCATGATGACTCACAAATTTATTCCTTCAAATAATTAACTAACTACTACTTTTTGTTGTTATTATTTTTTCATTGAAGTGCAGAGCAAATCCATACGAAATCAATAGTTTTTAAAAAAAACTATGATGCTCCTAAATGTAAATTTAACTTCAAAAATTATATTTAAGTTTATTTTTTTTAAATCAAAATTATGAAACAAGAAAGAAAAAAAACGTCGGCTACGCCAGTGTGGCAGCCTCAGGCACCCTATACGACCGCATAATTCGAATTGCCTTTACACCGGCCTTGTAAGTAAGATAGATTATGTTTATAAGCAGAGTTTCGTAGTGCTTCATTATAAATAGATACAGATTTCTTAAACACATCTTCGCTGCTAGAACATCCTAAATAAAAATCCAACCATTTTAATTTTTATTTTTGTTAAAATAAAAATAACTGCAACTGCCCTAATAAAATCAATTGTCCTTTACTCAATAGCTGCTTGACTAGCAACATTGTATACCAAGCAACCATCACTTCGGATAACACTTCAATAAAATAAAAAAACCATACATTGGTATTAGTGAAACACCTTTCAACAAAAATCGGATTAACGTTTAATGCTGGAAGCATTACAAGAATTTATTCTATCTTTAGTTTAAATCGTAGCAAAATATTTTATTGAATATCTCTTGCTTGTGTTTTTTGTTAGATGGTTATGGCTTCACTTTTTTTTTAAATACCTACGGCTCCATATTTAGTAACACTTGATTTCTAGCAGTAAACCGCTATTTAAAAAAAAGCAATAATGATTTAGAAAATAACAAACTGTAAAAATAATAAAGTAAAAAAAAAATGAAATTAAGTAAGATCTGTTGTTCTTAATACATCGGTTAGCGTTCTTTCGACTCAGAATAAGATTTTAAAGGTGTGACAAAATATAGACCTGGAAAGTCATTCTTAATATTTTAATTACAATTAGAACGTTATGACTTTCAAAGTCTGCGTTTTATCAAAAGTTCAAACTTTAAATTGAAATTATCCGAAATAAAGCTAATCTAAAAATATCATTGGCTATATTGATATATCGAAATAATTTACAAGAAAAGTTAACCTTAAAGCTTCTGGTAAATATACATATATTACTTGTGTAATACATAAGTAAATTTATATTATGTGAGTGTCTAAGAAATATTTAAAATATTGAAGTCGAAATCAAAAAAGCTGAATAATTTTATAATTTAGTTATTAAGATATGGGAAATTAAAAAAAAAACATTTCAAAAATCTGATATAACACGTGGGCGAAAAGTGAAATTAATGATTTTATAAATTCTAAAAAACAATTATTAAACTCTAATTATTTTAATGTATCTATGAACATTAATATGGATTATGCTTTTGAGTTTGCAAATATCACTTTAAAACTCTCAACTTTTACCCAAAATTGATCAACTTTGGGTCGAAAATCTTTTTACTCTTTGTGTATTAAAATACCATGAAATTTTTTAGAAAAAACCTAAACTTTAAAGATGGATCAATTCAATTAAACGTTGTTTTACTCAATGTGCAACTTTTTATACTTCAATTTTAACTTATTATTAGTTAAACGTTAAAAGTTAAAGGACACAAAAAAATATGTAATTATTATGTATAGTAAAGGAAGAAAAATAATTCTAAGGGTTTGCAAATAAATAAGTCTTGACGAAAATCGGTATGATATGATATCAAATTTAACTTTAGATACAAATAAAACTAAAAAAAAATTAATTTAAAAAACATTTATGTAGATTATATTATTTTATATAAAAAATTCTTTTGATTGGTTTTAAGGCATTATGTTTCTATGTGCCAATATCTCTTTAACAAACTAGTTTTTTTTGTCAAACACAGGTTTTTGGTGTAAAATGGGTGAGTAACATAAGATGAAGATTGTAATCCATAGCATGAATTATTTAATTGCGACATGAAATTAGTGAGTAGTTATTAATTAGTTTTTACTTCCTTAAAGTATAGGATGAATAATGTGAAAGAATAAATAGTCTTCGGTGGCACAATATTTGGTGGTAGAATGCAGATCCAGGTAAAGTTATAAAAAAAAAGAGAGAAATTTTATAAAATGTCGAAAAACCTGAGAATAAAGAAGTCAGGTTCTTGTATTTCAAAGCAAAACAAGCTGTATACAAGCCTTTGTTCTACAAATAGAATTTTAAACAAAATGCTACAAAGTTGCTAGGTTTATAAGTGCAGTGTTTATATTTCTAAAGTGAGGTTTGTTGAAGTTGAGGTTTGTTGAAGAAGGTATCTTTATTAGACTATGTGAAATAATACTTACAAATGAAGTTGAGGCAAAAACAAGGTGGGTGGCACATTTTAAAAAATTGTGTAATGAAAAGTTTAAATTATTATTAACACTAACCTTTATACAGAAAATTTATTCTAGCAACAGCAAATAAGATCTTCTATTTTATTTCTATTCTAAACTAGTGTTGAGATCTTTGCAAACAGATTACCTGGATGCCCTGATACTGATGAATAATCAGTTGATGGGTGGAAATAATGGAGAGATAAAATAAACAGATAGAATTCAGGAGCGTGTCTAGGAAATGTCTACTACTGTTAAGCGTACCAAAAAAGATCAAATAAAATTTTCCAAATTGAATATCTTGTTAAAAAAAAAGTTTTATTATATATAACAATTAAATCATTTGGAATTTAAAAAAAAATTCAAAATAATTATTTCACTTAAAATATATTTTTGACTTCTCTTTTTACATACAGCCTTTTTTAAATTTTTATTGTTTAACTATCATCATGAAGCAAATACAATTAGTAACAAAAAGTATACATTAAAATATATCAATGGACATCCCCATTTTTATTACATAAGACTGTATCTTTTTAATAACTTACATTTTGAATTATAAACAAGGAAAGAAAAAGTTCCAAACATAAAAAATTAAATTCAGACTTTCCTTTGTACATACACCCTTCTCAATTTGTGTTTACTTTAACATTTCTAAAAGTCAAAATTTAGCCACAGTTTAGTTCAAAATGTTGCTTAACTCACATGTTTTGATATCACTCAAAAGAAAATGCAAATCGAAATAATAATGAGATTGCAATTTTTTTTATAGAACTTTTGAAAACTTGAAATTAAATAATAAATTAAAAAATGTATAACTATGTATGTTTTAGATCTCTATTAACAACAATCTCTTTAGTTATCACTGAAAATAATTCTATAATGAATAATTTATTAAACTAAAATTCAGATTTTTATTCCGAACATGTGACTTTTCAATCTATTTTTTTAGTAATAGAAGTGATTTATCTTGTTTTGCCATTGTCAAATTTTTTTTGAGAAAGCCAATACAAATTATTAATTCAGAAAGTCAGATAAATTTTTGGATAAATAAAAAAAAATTGTGCATCCAGCTAATTTCTAATTGGTGATATATAATTTTAAAGTTGATGAATTTCCAAACTATTTTTGTATTTATGGAAATTTGTGAAATTCGGTTGGTTTTCATTTAAAATGAATTTATCAACATGAAAGTTGCTAAACCACTTATGTAAAAGTTGTTTTAATTTGATATGGAATATATTTTTGAATAAAATAATTTAAAATGTATAATTTATTTGAATTACTCTTTTTTTATTAAGTTTTTTAAACTTAACTAGGTAATTTTGTTGTAAATTTATGTTTTTGTTTTTTTACAAAAAAACAGAATAGTTCTTATTTTTTTTCAAAAGTGCTAACTTGTCTCTACTGTGTCATACATTTTTTAAATATATTGCATTTCTTTTTTTCAAATATTTTAGTGGGAACTGAGGCAAGTTAGCACTTTTTTAAATTTACAGGATTTAAAAAGGTTGAACAGTGACTTTTTTTTCTTTCTTAAAATATGAGAATATTTCATTTTTAGTTAAAAATATGAAAAATATTTAACTTTTATATGTATATTTGATTTGATTTTGTTTGTGTTTAGCATAAGTAAAGTAAACTAAAAAATAAATGTAATGAAGGAAAATAAAAAATAGAAAATACATCAATAAAGTTTTTTTCACACAATTTATTAAAGCGGGCTAAGCTATTAAGGCAAACTCAGTTTATTCTGCCATAAAATATTCTGCCATAAAAGAAATACTTTGAAAATATGTGTGAAAAAGCATGGAAACATTATAAACGTCTGAAAGAAAAACATTTAAAAAAAAAAGGATATGCATTTATAACTTCACAATCATCAAAATATATTAATGAACTCAAGGATGCTTACAGAACGGTGTGTTTCAAATCTAACTAATACTTTTATAGAACTGGGTTAATAGATAAGAAACTGGATTAATAAGATAAAAAAAGGAGAGAACACAGGTGTCAATTGCCTAAACAACTTTATCACTAACGAGTGCCCAGAGTTGCATGTTAACCAGTTATTGGGTTACTTCTTATGTAGATTTAATACACAGTAATTAGACATAAACAACAGGTAACAAGTAATAAGAGTACTGCTTGACAATGCACTTTTTAAAAACCATATGGAAAACAATAGATACCTTTAGCATATTGATTCCATAGCTTTAATGCATTTCCTTACACTAAGTAAGGAGCAAATGAGAATATTAAGATTTGTTTTTGCTTCAAAAGACATCTATGTTCAGATGTCTTTTGAAGCAGATTGTATACTGTGCAAAACAAAAACTATTGAATGGATAGAGTTATTGAAGGTTTTTTAGAGTTAGTAAAGTATTTCTGATCATCAGAAGAAACACATGCTGAAAAACTGTTAAATAAGGATGTTATCACTCCTACTAACACAGTAGATTTTTTGCACACAAAAAGGACTTAATAAAAAACCACAAACCAAATCTGATCAAAAAAGCATATGTATTCCACATTCATATATAAATGGGACTAACTTGGTATTTAAACTACTCTATCGGTGTACAAACATTGAAGACTTTGGGTTGAAAAAATAGGACTGCTTGGTAAATCAATACTTAATGCAAGAGACAGATTTATTACTAAAATTAAAGAAAACACTGGAATGCAATTAGATATAATTAGATGTGTTGCAACTTTGGTGAGAAGGGAGGGACATCAACAACAGAGTCATTAGGAAATAGATTTTTAGAACATAAAAGATTTATGCCCTTTTATCTACAAAAAGAGCATGTTACTATTACATTCTTAAATTAGTGTAATACTTTGTATAGTTTCTTACTGACTTAAAATTAAAATGGACAAATTTCAAGAATTATGTAATAATGCTACACTTAATGTTAACTTGAATATACCATGGCCAAAAATTAACCCCACTCTTCATGGAGTCCTTCATCACTCATCTGAATTATTCATTCTTAATGATGGTTATGGCCCTGGGAATTTATCAGTGGAAGGTCTAGAAGAAAACAATAAAGATATAAGAAACTATTTAAAGATTCTCTCTTGTAAGACATTAAATATAATAGAGCTTACTGCTGTGATGAGTCATTTTTTATAAAGATATTATCTTGGTGTTTTAAACCAAATTATCCGTTTGTATCCTCCAAAGTTATGCCAAGATTGTAGTTCAAATAAGCTTATAAGGAGATCTTGTGAGCATATGTAAAAACAAAGAGGTATTTTGATGATATGTTTGAAAACTTAGTAAATGATTAATTACAAAGTTATAAACATTTTTTACTGTTTTTATTTTTATCTTCAAATATATGTTGCAATATTAAACCATTAGAACCCTTTCCTTATAATTTTATTAAACTAACATTATTTTTAATACAAATTTGCCCAAATACTTGATTTTTAAAACAAAAACCTTTTATCATTAAACAGTAGAAACCAAACCCCTAAATTAATTAAATTTGTTAATTTTTTTTTCTTCAAGTATACCTAATAAATTATTATCTTAGTTATCATCTAAAAAAAAATTTAACTTTAATTTAACTGAGTATTTATCAAAAAACACTAATTTATCAAAAATCCCCAAATATGGTAATTTGAACCCAGTTCGCAAAAACAAAAGTTTATTATTAAAAATTTTAACTTCCCTATGAGAAACAAAAAAATATCTTTCCAAAAAGTCCTCAATGAGTTTTCTAGGATTTCTTAATCATTAGTTATAATCCATTTTCCAAAACTTTGCCTTTTGGGCCCACTGTGTGTCTGTATCACAAAATTATTTGGATACAAGAAAGGAAGATAAAGAGTAATGCAAGAAGAAACTGTTTATGATTGCAACGATAAAAACTCCTTGTTGTTCTTGAAAAACTAATCAATTGTGGAAAAAAACTAGAGTATCTATATCCAGCTTTTAGACTTAAGTAAAGTTATTATTATAGCTAAGTTGCTTATCTCTATTTAAATAACTCTCTTTGGGAATTATCATATCTACCTTTTTGTTGTGAAGGATTTTTAAACGATTTTAATGCCATTTTCAACATAACAATTATATAGTTTTTTGTACTGAAAAAAGCATTAGACAAAACTTTTAACTTATGTGGATACATAACCTCCAATGGCTTACTTTTTATAATCTTTTCTTTCACTTAACATGAACTCCTTCTCAGCTTTCATTGTCGTCCAATGGACTCATAAAAGTAACCTTTTACATAGAAGTTTGCTTCTAAACTGCTTGCGAGTTTGTTTCATTATTAAAAAATATCCTTCTTTTATCAAAAAATGTTTCTTTGCTTAAAATCAGCTAATATTGCGCCTGTGGGTTTGTATCTTTTTAAAGGATTTAATGGTACTTTTAGTGCAAAAGGAATGCTTTTTATATATCAAATACATCACAAAAATGAGCTTAAAATGTGTTGCAGGCAAAAAATTACAGGCAATATAATAGAAAAATCAAAAAGTCTATGTATTTTTCTATTATTGGTGATGAAACATCAGACAGTTTAAATTTTTTTAGTTTGTTAATTCTAATTTTGACATGAAGGAAATATTTTTCAAGTCTATACATTGTTTAAATG